CTAGAAATAAACCTTGTCCAAATGGAAACCAGGATCGATTCCCCAGCTGGTTATTATCTCACATTCTGGGTGAGAAGGAAGAGCAGGAAGGAAACCACTTGGAGTCCTGGACTTAAACCATACTAACTGTCCCTAAAAGGCAAACACAATTAATTAAGTGCTGGGGCTTCTGAATTATATCAGTAGCATGGCCATCAATAAAGGACATCCTCTGACCTTAAAGGCCTTAACAATCTATTATATATAGTCCAGCACATGCCAAAGAGCTCCTCCAAAGTTATCACAATTTAGATATGGTGAGCACTGGAATATGTTTTAGCAAAGGAAAGGAATCAGTTAGAGATATAATGGATTGAGCAGAGAATCACAGAAGTCTGAAGCCAAAAGGAAATTTGGAAATAGAGCAAATTGGCTGTGCTCAAGCCAAATCTAATCTCTAGATCTCTAGAGGTGTTTTGTTTGGCTTGCCTACTTTTTATTTTATTTTATTTTTAGCAATTTTGAATTAATTTCCAATGTTTTAAAACTGAAAGATTTCACACAAAAATCCGAATTTCCAGATTCTCTTGGTAAATCAGAAGGTCTGGCGACACTGGGCCCTCGTTCTTACATAACAGTTACCTTGAACTGAGTAACTTTGGCCTTCATCGAATGGGCATGTTCTCTCCAGTTCCTTTTACTTCCTAATGTCTCCCTGACACAAGACCAAGATTGATTTACACTTAGAGTTTCTCCCGTGCTCTCCTGACACTCCCCCCGCAATTTGCTTTGTTCATGTGATGCCAGTATCAAGATCCCTTACTGACCAATCCAGTGAACAGTCACCTGTTTCCAAGCTCTTCTCTCAGGTTCAGAAGAGAAAATGGCAAAATTTGTAATCAGAGTCTGAGAACAGATAAAAAGTTATAGAGATTTAATGAAGTGAAATATAAGCAAAATGAGGGCCAGACACTTAACTACGAATTGATATAATCATCTTCCTATATTCTAAACTCTTATCCATGTTCCCTATATGCTAGTCTCTTGATTCATCTTATCTCTGCTTCACACAACCCATATCCCACAAAGCTTGGCCCAAACAGCAGTTTTCTGATGATGTTACCTACACTGGTTTGTTCTTTTAATGTTTTGCATAATATGTACATGATTATGTAGAGCCCAATCAATACACACTTTAGTATGTAGTGTACACACTAGTGTACTTGCTATATTACTTTCGGAATAAATATCAAGACTCATGGCAACATATATGAGATGCAGAAATACAAAAAGATCTGGTACCTTTGGGGTTTATTGAGAATAATGAGAATAATATTTAAAAATGACACTCTTCCAGAGAATCTGGCAGGTCTGGTCTTTGTATTTAATGCTATCACATTTGTTAATATTTTTCTTATCTCATAACCCAGAAGTCCCCAACATTTTTGGCACCAGAGACCAGTTTTGTGGAAGACAATTTTTCCATGGACCAGAGGTGGGGGGAGGGGTTGGCGGGAAGTTGGGGTTTTGGAATGATTCAAGCTTGCCACCCCCCCACCTCCTGCTGTGCAGCCTGGTTCCTAACAGGCCACAGACCTGTACTGGTCCTTGGCCCGGGGGTTGGGGATCCCTTCCATAACTATCTTTTCTTAAAGAGTTTAAGAGTTTCTTTTGAGTGGGTCATAAAAGCACAAGATCATAAAATAGTTTGAAGAAGTGTCAAAACATTGTATAAAGTAAAATTAATCAGCATGATGTATAAGGTACAGTGTGATGAGTGTAGTTAACATACTGCATTATATACACAAAAATTGCCGAGAGTAGATCTTAAAAGTTCTCATTTAAAAAATTCCAACTGTGTGTGGTGATGTATGTTAACTAAACTCATTATGGTAATCATTTTGCAATATATAAATACATTGAATCATGCTGTACACCTAAAAGTAACAAATGTTATATGTCATATCTCAATTAAAGGAGGATGCAAAGAAAAAAAAAACTGAAACAGGCCCAGTTTCTAACTACCATTCATAACAGTTACTATGTATTATGCCTTTGTTAATTTATAGCACAATTGTTCAAAGGATAAGCTCTCAAGATTGACTTCTAGGGTTCAAATCCTGCTCTCATCATTTATTTAGCTGAGTGACCTTATTAAAATTCTCAGTCTAAGATAAAAGTAATGCCTCTATAAAATAAAGTGTGTGGCTCACTTGACATATAATGTTTAATAAACATTAATAATAATAATAATAATTATTGGCAGTTGAAACAGAGAATAGAAGGTGGCTTTACTCTGCATATTGGTCCAGGAAAGTAGAGGTGTTTTCCTATCCAAAGTTTTAATCAGACTAATAGTTGTTACACTGTAAGACTGCAGATTTAGAAGGGAGAAACTGAATTTAAATAAAAATTAGATTTAAAAAATGGGTCATTTCTTCTGGAAAACTAACATTACCATACTTTCATTTCTAGAGGTCTAGAGATCAGATTTGGCCTGAGCACTCTCCCAAAAAATGAAGTTTATTTGGAACGTGATACTCTTCCATAATAACATTTATAGGAACCAAACACAATTGAGATTTTATTCATTTACTTATTTTAGGGGGATGCTTACAAAATCGAACTTCAAGATATAAACTACAGTTACAGATGCTAACCTTGATTGGTATAAATATAATAATAATCTTCAATCACATTTTCTTAGCCTGGCTTGCAACGTTCTCCATCATCTAGCGCCATCCTACTTTCCAGTGTATCTATCTTAAATTCCAGGCTCCAGCCACTCCAACCTGCTCTGCTGTCTTTGAACACACCACACTCCCATACCTCTGTGCTATTCCCTTGTTCCAGCAGGCCTCCTGTCCATTGAGGAAATCCTTTTCCTTCATGTACCAGCTCCGACGCTACACCCACCACAAAACTTTTCTGTTCTTAACCTTGAATGAACCTCTTCTTTTCTCTGCCTTTCTCAAAAACACACTGCTGATGTCGCTGCCATGTAACTCCATTTACACTATCCTGTATTGTAGATATCTGTAAACAGGCCTATCTTTCCCCATAGGCTAAACTCTTTGAAAGCAGGGACCATGTGTTCTTTCCGTGAATTTAAGTTTTAGTTAGAGTTCAGTCTCATAATCTATAAGGAATACTTTTAGGTCTATAAAGAATCTCCCAAAGAAAAGGCCAACTAGCTCAAAATATATGCATTCTTGTAATTTTTAATTAAAATTAAAGTCGCTAGGTGATACTTTCTTGGAAAGCTATAGTTATACAAGACATTTCTTTTGCACACTCCCACTGGCTTTTTATACTCAACGCAATCTATAAATTAAGTTCAAGAGATAGCTCACTTGAAGAAAACTGTAAAAATTGGAGAGTTCAAAGATTAGGGGTGAGGAAATAAAGCTTGAAAATCTGACCATGTCTAATTATCATCCTTTAGCTCTAGTTTCATGCATATCACCCCAAAGCACCATGATCTGCCCTGATACAGACTCAGACACCAACCAATGCATATCATCAGCACCATCTTTTCAGAGTCACAGTCAGAAGTCAGAAAAGATTTCCTAGTGTCATGCTCTATCTCCCCATATCTTTTGTCCTTCCCTATATTTAGCTTATAGATATGAAGGGCCCTTGTTACCACATTTGCCTACACAGAAAAGAGAAGAAACAGAGAAGGATGTTCTTAGGCAGTTAGTGGTGCTAAAAGTATGCGTTTTTTCAAAATTACAGGTTAAACTATTATATTATGTAATTGCCACTTCTCAGGGCCTTAAAAAACATTTACTGCAATGATATGGGTGCTATCCCTGTTATCTGCATTCACATGTTATTTATAAGAGGGTGTAATTGTATAATTAATAATCGGTGTTTTCACTTCAGAATCAAGCTTTCTCAGTCCTCTGCCTAAACCAGCCAGAACAATTTCTCACAGCTAAAGCCAATTCAAATCAAGACAATGTTCAGACCTACCCAACTAACATAATCTGATGGAACAATTGACTACTCTAGAGGCAGGGGAATCCACCCACGATCAGAATTACTAGCCAGGTAATTAAAAAACAAATACACTTCAACTAACTGTGACATTGGGAAATTGTTCTTTTTTTAATGTTATATTAAATAACTTACTATATAAGAAATATATTTAGTGTATATCTCGCCTAAACCTTCTGGATGGACTGACCTGTGCTGGATTAGACCTGGCATCTCAAGAAGCATTGATTTGTTTTTGACGACCAACTTTTTAAATGGTTACCAGCTCTTCCCAAAGTCTCTGGGCTCTGAAGTCAGAGTAGGATATCTAGGGAGAGCCACAGATGAAGCATTCTGGAGCATTCAGCACCAAGTCCTCACAAGTTCCTCTGTGTCCCAGAGGCCCAGGTGCCGGCATCTTCCGCGGCGGTCGCGGAGGCTGGGCTCCTGCGTTCGCCGGTGGCTGACCTGGTGGTGCTGAATTTGGCGCAGCAGTGCAATATCCTCCCGCCCCGAGCTCTGCTTTCCTCACAGCCCAGGAGCACCCGTGGCGCCCCAACTCCGACCCTCTCAGGGGCACCAAGCCAGGGTCCTGGAGGCCTCGCTGCCCTCTGGGAAATGGGGGCCCACGTGGGTCGCATCCTCTCTACTCCCCGCTCTGCCGCCAGCAGCCCCTGAAGCTGTCTCGAACCCCATCTGAGGACGCTGTCCCCACTCCAGAACCACCGCCCACCGCCACCCCCCAAACTCAGTGCAAAATGCCGCAGTCAGATTCCTGGGAAAACCTGCCCACTGCGAAGAAGCACTCCATCAAAAAAGGGTTGTCAAGGGGTGGGCGCGAACGTAGCAAGTACACTCAACCCCTCAGCCCACACTCCACACAAGAAACCGGTTCCAAGTTGCCTGGCCGCTGGTGACAGCGTCGTCGCCGCCTCCTCCTCCAATTCAGAATCGGAGGAGTTACCTCTCGCCTCTGCGAGGCTGGAAAGCACGATGGCTGCTGACCCTTGGGACCCTCCCCGTGAGCTCCAGTCCTTTACCTGTGTACCGGCCTTGGTGGGGGACTCTGGGGCGCAGCACAGGGAGCGGTGCCCCGGGAGAACCCGGCGGGTGGTGCGGTCGGGACCTCGGCTGCTGCTCTCCCTTGCAGCTCCAGGCCTGCCGGGCGACTTTTTATCCAGGGGCCCGGGCCCAGCCCTGGCCCCGGCCCCTGCTGGAGTATTGGACAATCCGTCCCGCTACGCGCTGCCCGGGGAGCCGCCGCCCTCTGCCCCCGCCGAACTCCGCAGAAACGGCGGCCACATGGAGGGAGGGCGCCGGACCCCTCCTCTGGTCTCCACCTTCTATTTCTCCTCCTCCTCCGGGTGTTAAACCCTGTGTTCCCCCCTCCCCCTCTCTTCTTTTCGGGGCACCCCGGCCAGCCTGAACCGGTTATGATTGCGCGGGTGGCTGGGGGAAGGAGGAGGAGGCGAAGGAGATGGAAGCGGAAAAGCGGGCTGTAGGGGCGCTGCTTCAGCTCTCGTGGCTCCGGCTCCGAGCTGTGCAGGACCAAGTAGGCCAGGTGGAGGAAGGGCACCGCTGGAGCCCAGCCCTGATCCGGCCCAGAGCCACCAAGGCAGCATGAAACCTTGGCACTACCCACCAGGCGCTCTCTGCGCGCGCACACGCGCGCGTCCCTCAGCGTCTTTGCGCCCTGCCCCACACCTGGTGCCTGCGCCCGCCTGCCAAGGACCGTGCGCATTTGGGGGGACCCGGGTTCTAGAGATGAGTGCTAGTTGCCTCTGGTCGCCTAGGCTCCTGGGACCGTCAGGCGCCCTTCTGGCTGGAGCTGTATACCCAGCTGTCAGTGATCCCAGAGAAACGGGCACCAGAACTCTGTGGAATCGAGTGCTCCTGGACAGTGAGAAGTGAGGATGCCAAGTGCTGTCCTTTGTGACAGCTCCACGGAAAGGAGGGCGCCCGCATTGCACACAGCGTGTTGAGGGAGAGGGGCTGCATTCAAGGACGTTCCTTCTGTTCTGCAGGTGGACAGCACTGGCAATACACTCCTATCCTTGGCTGAAAGGCGCTGCGCTGGACATGTGCTGTATCCCCACAGAGAACCTCTGCAGCAGATGGAATAGCCCAGAGGTACCAGGGACTCACCGGGTGTGAGAACTCTCTAAAGTAATATACACTTTTTGGTTTCTTGTGTATGTTTGTATTTTTGAGAAGGGCCACCATACCTTTTCCTAGCTTTATAGACCGGGCTAGGGTCATCCCATCACCAGGATGAGGATTCCCTTGTACACTGAACACTCTGGTTCTGACTTAGACAAAGACCCTATACTTTGCAAAGTGTCGGTTTCTGAAGTCCAGGTTAGGCTGCCTAAATTTCCTGAGCCTCGGTTTTCTCATCTTGCCTACATCAAGAATCCAGTCTATGTGAGATGAGAATTATGAGAATTTAAAAGAACAACATCAAAACAAACAAATAAATAAAAAACTGTGAACCCTGGCCATACATGTCAAGTTTTCTTACAGATATGAAAATAGCAGTTCATCCCTTTGCCCCACACTATTCCTTTTTACCCAATTTATTGACTTTCAGGCAATGGGGAAGAGAATGGCTGGTATTATTTTGTTTTGTCCTAAGAAGGAGAAAGATTAAAGGGGGGGAGGGGGAAAGTAACCATAAAAATAAGAGGGAAGTAGCCCCAGCAATAGTTTCTGGAAGGAAAAATGAAGAGGTGATGCTGTCAACATCATCAATTTTTTTTTTCCTCAAGAGAAGGGATACAATAGAGGCTTCACAACATGTTTTATTTTTGAACATGATGGTTATGCAAGTGGTTTGTGGTTATTTGAGTGTGTTCACTTTGTAATAGTGCATTGACTTGTACACTGATAATTTGTGTACTTTTCTCTATATGGTTCAATAAAAGATATTTTTAGAAAGTTTTTTCTTTGATTCAAATACCCACTAACCACCAGAGCAAATGTCCTCTTGATAGTTGGTCAAACCAGTCAACGTATATGAAGTTATATTTGGGGAAAAAGAAACCCAGCTTGAAAAATATTTGTGTTCACTAATTGATTTCCAAAGTTGCCATGTTCCTGTTCTTATGCCACCAAATTTTCCAAGATTTCTTTTAAAGAGAGTATATAATCAGCACTCCATGTCTGCTTAGGCCAGTCCATGCCTATCAGCTAAGAACTGAAAATGAGCTTATCCTTACACACAGCATGGACCAACTTCAGTGTAAGACTGGATTCTAGAGGTCAAAAACTCAAATGACTGAGAGCCCAGACTTAATGTAATGAATGAAGTAGGCAGAAGGCAACCAGAGAACTTAGGAAGCATGAAAGCTGGCTCTAGGGCCAGTGGCCATTTGGGAATTGCTGCCAGGCTAGAATGTGAATGTACATTGTTCAGTCAAACCTCAGCAGAGCATTTAGACATGCAAGAGAATTCAGAAATCTAATCCAAACTTGATGTTTTACCTATGAGTGGAATTTGACCCAGAGAAGCTAAGGATATGTTCCTGATCACCCCCCACCCCAGGGCAGAATGGGGTGGGGAGCAGGTTGGCAGAGACAAGACTAAAACCAACCTCCCTACCATTCGGAGTTTTTATTACTGATGACATGAAAATGTAAGATCTGCTTGCAAGGTAAGGGTCAGATACCTTCAATATTGCTGGCTTTACAACTCTGTGCAGCCTCTGCCCTTTGGGTCTCTGTTGAGCCCAGAAGTCGATGTACTTTCAACAGGATGCAGTGAGAGAAAAAGACAGATGATTTAATAAACTAGATCTAAATGAGACACCCCACCCCATCCCGCCCCCTGTCTCCCCAGGAAGACAGAAACCTTAGGAAAGGCCTTTAAAGAAAAATTGATACAGAGGTGATGCCCTAAATGAAGGAGTTTGTTCTTCACCTGTATTATGGAGCATTTGTTAAGAAGTTTATGATTTGTTATTTCTAAGATTTCTCCTTCTTAGACTATTAGCTGCTTCAATTTTTTCGAGAAAAAGATGGAGAAATTAACATAAAATTGTTCTGTGGTCCTCACCCCAGCAGAAACAGAGGGCAGAGGAAGGCATGCTTTAGTCAGGGGAGGGTAGGACATTTATATAGCACCTGAGTTGCTGGTCCAGAGTCTGCCTGGCTGATCAGACTTTTCTTCCTTACTTATTATACCAGAGCAGGTTTATTTTCTTTTGTACACATTGTTCTTCCCCTGTTTATGCACAACAACATAGCCACACAGGCACTATATTTTGAAATAAAAGTAACTAAAGAAAATAGAATTTAGAGTTTTTATAGCAATTAGCTCAGAGATCTAAAGATCATTCTATTAATTCCATTTCTTTCTTTCACACTCTACCAGATAAAAATAATCAGAAAATAATAGAAGTGGATAAATCATTCCATCTGATGCTTGTAGAGCTTTTGTTGAAAAGGACAAATTTTCAGATGTTAAAAATGACCTTTGTTGTTATTACATGTCATTGAGTTGGCTCCAACTCCTGGTGGCCCTAGAGACGAGTGAGCTGTCTCCTCATAGGGTTTTCAAAATAAGAAAGCTAAGAAAGGTAAAGAAAAAGATTAAGAAAAGAAAGTTCAGCAGCGGTTTACCATTGCCTTCTGCTGCACAGTAGTATGTGGGTCCAAACCACATGTGCTTGGTCCGTGGTGTCACAATCACCAAACAGCTATAAACGTAAGCACCCCTGTAGGGAAGAATGACCTTAAAGACATACTGTATAGTATTTTTCTTGAAATTCTCAAGAATATTTTTTTCTTGCCTTTACTTTCGTTTTAGGGGAAGAGGGAAGAGGGATATTCTTTGAGTACCTGGTAATTACCAAGAACTGTGCTATCTCATTTACTCCTCAAAGCAATCTCATGTGGTTAAGTGTCATTAACTCCATTTTACAGATGAGGAAACTAGATTTCAGAGGGGTTAAGCTACTTGCTGAGCCGCTCAATCAATAAGTGATGGAGTAGGATTCAGGACCTGCCTGGGCGATAGATAAGCCTGTGTTCTTCCCATTCTACCTTCGGAAAATGATCCAAGCTTGGTAAGAGCTAATGCTGGGGACTGACATCTCACATATATTAATTCATCTAAGGCTCACAATAAACCTAAGAAGTGGTTGCCGTTTTTACCACCTACATTTTGCAGCTGATGAAAATGAGCTAGAGAGAGGTTAAATAATTTGCCCCCAACTGCACAGTTAATGATGGGTAGACTGGGGTTCAAATTCAGTCATCCAGGTACGGAGAATCAGGCTCTGAACAACCACTCTATATTCTCATGAAAGTGGAAATCAGAAATGTAAAATTACGTAGAATGTGCATGTCCTGTATGTATGTATATTACACTTTCTTTCTGACTTGCATTACAAGGTTTCAAGGCCATAACCAGAAAGAACCTATATCTTCATGTGTACCAGTTACCAAAGCACCCAGTCTATCTCCATGTATAGAACTCACGATACTTGTAATGTGCTCATTGTTGTTTGCACAATAAAACTATACGAGGGCAAGTACCAAGTCTGTCCTGTTCATCACTGTTCCCTAGAGCACAGTGAATGACCAAATGAGTAAACGAACGTGCATGCTCAAACTGTCAGTGACTTTTTTTGCTGTAACAGATCATTAAATTCTTCTGCTGACTTACTTTGCCAAGTTCTATTCTATTCTAAATAATTATAAGAACTGTCTCATTTGATCCCATAAGGCAAGTACAACTGTTAAACAGATGAGAGACTAAGGCCCCCGGGGTTTAAATGAGCTGTCCAGTCAGAGAGCACCAAAGCGACAGAGACAGGGGGCAAACACAGGCAACGTGAGTCCAGGGTCCACATTTGCAAAACTATTGGCCTTCACTCTGCTTGTACACCACTTCATCCCAGGATCCAGGACAGTATTTGGCACACTGTAGATTCTCCAAAAGTATACTGAAAGAAGGAAGGAGAAAATTCCCTCATGTGTCCAGGACAGTTTGAGGCCATTTCCTATGTTTTAATTCACTCATGGAATTGTGTATGTTACAAATTCAGCTCTATATGATCTATGATGCAATCATATTAGAGAATAGATTAGCAGAGAAAGGTATATGCCCAAAGGTAGACTTTGAGTTCAAAAGTACCAATGGATCCAATTTCTTCTTGTGAAAATACAGGTGGAATATTTGAATATGATTTTAAAATAAACATAACACCACAAATTGAATGTTTTATGAAACAATGTTAATTTTTTTAAAGTGCCTCTGCCTATGTGTCTGACTTATATGTATTACATAACAAAGTTCAGACAGCTCCAAACAATATTTCAGTTCAAAATGTTAAGTTTTATCCTTCTTCTCTTCATCATTACATTGATATTGGAGAATAAGCATGACCTCTACTCTATGTACAGGGTCTATATAGCCCCAAATTTGTGAACAGTCCAAATACTTTGCCCCTGGTTTCATCAAGTAAACTTTTTTTTTAAAAATATGATCACCTTAGATCTATTCAACATGCTGCAACTTGGTTTTGTTGGGTATAATTTAGAAAATGGTAGTTAACCCATGAAACTAAAAGTTATAAAGAAAAAATATGCTCTTGAGGAAAAATGTAAAATCAAGCATGTTCCATGGAATTTGAACATAAACTGAAACTGATGCAGATGGAA